AGGCCTTTTAGTTTGTCTGTTGCTAACCGAATATGTTGCTTCTCAAGAGGTTAAACATTTAAAACCAGGACACTCGGCATGCCACACTTCAAAATCCTGGTGCCAGCAGAGACCTCAGTAATTCATATTTGCCCAGGAAGAAACCAATATGAACTTTTCAACTATTATCTAAAATAGTCAAAAGATGCCAACTGGCAAAATGCACTAAATTAACACTAATATATACAATAAAGTTGATATCCAAGAGAAATGCACAGCAATATGGATACTGGGATTGCTCCCGAATATGGGCATTCAAGGTCACACGTGATCCCAACAGAAACTGCAGGCCGAAAGATGTTCATTTTCAGAATGCGAGCTGCTTACCGAATTAAGAGTGCAGTATACATATGGACAAGCACCTGAATTTCCAGTCTGCAACAGCCAAACAGAAAAGCAGACAAAGGGCCCTGCCACAGAATTTAGACCAGGACTGTCACAGAAATGAAAGGGTACCAAGCAGGCCAGGAACCAACCACCCACCTTTTGTTGAATGCATTCACCTGGAGATTTCTGCACAAATCTGGGAAACTCAGATGTTACAGAACTTATGAAAAGCACCATATAAAAATGCCTTTTCTAATGTATTTAACACTACTCTGTTTTATACATGCTGAAATCATCATGAGTTAGGTTTTCATGACACCTAAGAGAACACAAAATTGCAAGGGGGAAAAGACAGTTAAGATAATGCTTAAAAGACTTCAAAGAAACAGTAATGCCACCATCATAAATGTATTTGTTTTACTCGATCCATTAAATTAATTTTATGGTCCTTGGTTGGAAAAAAGAATATTTGATTTTTCAGTGAAGTGGCACTAAAGGTATATTCAGGCTGGAATGAGAAGAATGAAAAGATATCATGTAAATTCTGAATACAGAGTACCAACCAACACATGCAGAACCTTAACACACATTAAGGAAAATGCAAAGCATTCAGTTGAAAAAAAAAATGTTAAAGAGTTTGTTTACAGGCATGCTTTATAAATACAGAATTATACTTCAGTACTCATTTCCACTTTACATATTCTGACAAATACAGATACTTTTCACTAACAGATCATAGAAAAGTAGGGTTGAAAGGGACCTCAGGAGGACATCTAGTCCAACCCCCTGCCCAAAGCTGGACTAACCACAACTAGATCATCCCAGCCAAGGTTTTGTCTAGCCAAGTCTTAAAAACCTCCAAGGATGGAGCTTCCACCACCGCTCTGGGTAACCTGTTCCAGTGCTTTACTACCCTCCTAGTGAGAAAATTCTTCCTAACATCTAACCTGAACTTCCCTCGCTGCAACTTGAGATTTGTCACCACTGAGAACAGTCTAGCTTCATCTTCTTTCGAACCCCTCTTCAGGTAATTGAAGGTTGTTATTAAATCCTCTCTGTCTTCTCTTCTCTACACTAAAGCACAGTTCCCTCAACCTCTCCTCATAAGTCATGTGCCCCAGCCCCCTCACCACTTACACTGCCCTCCGCTGGACTCTCTCCAATTTGTTCACATTCTTTCTGTAGTGGGGGGCCCAATACTGAACACAGTACTCCAGATGTGGCCTCACCCATGCTGAACAGAGGGGAAGAATCACTTCCTCTGCCCTACTGGCAACACTCCTACATGTCACAACCCAAGGGTGTGATTTTGTTTGTGCGCGCTTCGGCACTGCTAAATTATTTCCCGCCAAGAGGAACTTTCTTTGCAAGGTGCATTTCTTAGCTGCAAAGAGAAAACCCCAGTGCAAAGGAGTTCCCTCCACCCGCATGCAAATTTGTGTCCCACTATTGGCCAGTTCTAAATTATTCCCACGTGGCGGCTGGCAATTGGCTTGCTAGCCGTATAAGAGGCTTGAGCGGTTTCCGCCCAAGTTGGAGAACTCCGAGGAGAACCCCGCAAGGGAGGACTCCACAACCATCTGGAGGAGGAAAACTTCACGTCTCGTGAAGATCTCTAAGCGCTGCGGAGCCTATCGAACCCAGCGTGTACCTTAAGGCGGCTACAGGGGTCTGATCAACCTCTGGCCTCCCCCCGTCGCCGAACGATCCCTCGACGAACCCCTTTCCTGTGCGCAAGTTCCACAGAGCCTAGCAAACTTCGTGTGAGTGTATCCAGAGCTCTCTGCTTCGAGTTGTTTTCTTCGGTTGACGCAACGGGCTCACGTGTTTAGAGCCTTCAACCAAATTGGGCTAGAGGTTCGCGTGGAAGGAACTCTTGTCCGCCTCTCTTCTTTTCTGTCTGTAACCGCAACCCAAGCAAGTTTTCCTGCTTGCACCGCGACCATCTTCAGTGTAAGTAAAATAATCTTTAATCAACTGCTAAGCGTCCGTGCCTAATTCTAGCCCGCCGGCCTGCATTCCCCAACCCGGCGTGTCCGGGCTGCTGGCCACAGCCTGCCACGCGCCTCTGAGGGCTTCGGACCGCTCCCGGCCCACACACTACAAATGCAGCCTAGTATGTCATTAGCCTTCTTGGCAATGCGGGCACACTGCTGGCTCATATTACTGTCCACTGCAACCCCCAGGTCATTTTTTGCAGACCTGCTAGAGCTGCTGCCCAGCCAGTCAGCCCCAGCCTATACTGTGCATGGGATTGTTCCATCCTAAGTGCAGGACTTTGCACTTGTCCCTGTTGAACCTCATGAGATTTCTTTTGGTCCAATCCTCCAATATGTCTAGGTCTCTCTGAGTGCTAGCCCTACCCTCCAGCATATCTACTACTCCCCCCAGCTTAGTCTCATAGGCAAACTTGCAGAGGGTACACTCTATGCCATCTTCCAGGTCATTCTAGAAGACAACATTGAACAAAACCGGCCCCAGAACCAACCCATGGTGCACTCTACTTGATACTGGCTGCCACCTGGACATCAAGCCATTGACTACTACCCTCTGAGCCCAATGCTCCAACCAGTTTTCTATCCACCCTAGAGTCCATTCATCCAGTCTGTACTTCCTTAGCTTGCCAGCGAGAATGTTGTGGGAGACCATATCAAAAGCCTAGCTAAAATCAAGGTAAAATCAAGACATCCACCAGTCCCCACACCCACACAGCCAGTCATCTTATTAGTGAAGGCAATCAGGCAGGGGTGTGTGAAATGGGCCAAATTCAATTTGGATTCAGATTCAGCTCAAATCAGGGCTGAATCATTGATTCAGAT